GTTGATGCATACGGGAACATGCAATAACGGTTTTATTCAATGATTTACTATCTCAGTTTATGAAATACGATCAATAACTTTATCACGTAAACATACCATAAAATAATTGATTTATTTTATAGACTGACCATAGTTAAGCATTGAATAATAATAAATTTTTTTATTTTTTTGATAAAAAACACCTAAAAGTTTTAGAGTATATGTAAATCGTTATTCTGAATAACTTTACTTACTACGCCAAGTTTAGTTTCCTTATCGTTATTAAAAAAATAACGTGATTATCAAAATTCCGGTGATCAATGTCAAATATTGATTAATAAATTTTTACCACTAATAGTGCCAAACCTTCAGATAAACAATACCACCCAAATACCGGTTATTCTGGTTATATCTGTTTACATGCATAATTGCGTTTTAATGCACTCCACACCAACAAAGAAAGTTCCCACCAGGGTTTACAGGTTCATTTGAGCATACCCCATAAATTTCTTATAATGGAATATTTACTATTACGTACGTATTTTATAATGGTCAAATGAAACGATTGACACACACTCTCTCGTGATCTAAAATATTCGAAAATCGATTAATAAATGTATAATTATTATAGATATCGAATTATTTATAAATTGATTTTTCTTCTAGCATATCTACTGGTACGCTTAGGGGTCTAGGACGGCCATCAAGATCATGCGTCACATAATAGTATGATATTAATAAATGATTGATCAATTATATATTGAGAATTATTGATGGTAACCTGGATAAGTCCTCAACAGCTTAATTTCGACCAAATTATTACTATTATTTATTATTATTATTTTAAAGGAAAAAAAAAACCAATATATTCACATAAGATCGTCATCAATCCTTTATCGATTTTATTCTACCGAAAAGTTCAGTATTGGTGGGTATAAATTTTTTTTTTTCAGGGAAGGGAGAGGATTTTTTTTCTAACGTTTTCATCATTTTCGAAATTCTTTCGTCAAGTTCGATGCGTTACTTCATCGGATTTGGGTGCTTTTTCTTCGTCTAGTTTCAATTCTTTCTTCCGTCGAGTTTCAGTAGGTTATTTCATCGAGTTTCGGTGTATTATAAGTTTCAGTGCATTCATCATTCTTTCATCGAGTGTCAATAGGATCCTTTGTCGAGTTCATGCATTCGTTTCTGGATTTTGGTTGTGTATGAATTCATGGATTTATTCGTCAGTTTTGATAGATTCTTTCGTCGAAAAGCGTAAAGCTTCATCAAGAAATATTGCATTTTTTTCATCACGTTTTCCGACGAAAGATTCTTTAATGAGTATATTTGATGTTTTTCAATGAAGACATCCGAGGTTTTTCAATGAAAATTTTGATTTGTTATCAATGAAAATGTTTAAAATATTTGCAAAAACGAAAAATAAAACATCTTAAATAAAAAAAAAAAATAATAAAAAAAAAATTACAAGTCTTCTAATAAAAAAAAAAAAAACATCGTGATTTGATTAGCTGGCTTTAGCTCTAATGCTGCGGCACCATAATGTCATAATTTTATTATCTAGTTTTTTGCGGTATTATACAACTCATTCATGAACGAGAAAAGTTTATATCATCAAAGTATGTGTGGCGAAGGGCCGTTTTAGCTGCAATTCGCTGATTTGGTACGTAAATCAAGAGCTTCTAAAAGAGATACGAAAGTTATTGACATAGGTTATTTATAAATACGGAATTGAGAAAGCAAAATTACCTCTAATAAATTAATTGCATCATAACACATCCAAGGAAAGATTTGATCTAAAGGATAGCGTCTCCAAATAGGGAAGATAATTTTGAAATTAGGTAATTGATGTACTCCAGGCCATAGATGTTCATCTGGAGTCCCGAGGATGCTATTTGTTTAGTAATATTTTAATATAAATCACGTGACGCGCGCGATTATGCAAAGAACAAAGTAAAGAAAAAATGACAAAACGCCACAAACCCAAAGATCTTGAATAGCTGATCAATTTCACTATCGCCTTTCAAAAAATATTCGAATAAAATACATAAGATCTTTGAGACACCAAAGCTTAAAGTTTATATTAATCTAGGAATATGAGAAACGTTCACGTGACCGTCAAAGAATACCTCTAAATAAAGCGTACGATGACATCATCTCGGCAAAAATACAGCCAACACTCCACATATCGACACTTGTAGAATAACATCGAGCACCAAGAAGAAGTTCAGGAGGTCTATACCATAACGTGACGACCTAATCAGACAATTGAAAAACATTTGATAGTAATCAAGTTATACTAATTAATATCGCATTGGATAAAGTGTAAAGATTATACCTCATGAGTAAGAACACCTATCGAATTAGAAAAATCTCTCGCTAAACCAAAATCTGCTAATTTCAAATTACCGTCTAAACCAATAAGAAGATTTTGAGGTTTCAGATCTCGATGAAGAATTCTACGTGAATGGCAATATTTGATTCCACACAAAAGTTGAAATGTAAATTTCTGAAAATTAAATACAATAAATCAAAAAAAAGAATACGAATAATAATAAAGCAAGAAATTAACAAAGAAATTAAGAAAATTGAGGTCACATATCGAGATGATTATACCTTAATTATATCTACCGGTAATCCGAATGGTGCACCATCAAGGTATTTCCTCAAATCCATATCACAATATTCAAACACAAGATATAGATTCTTTTCCTGAAGAATTGTATCCAGAAGCCTAATGATTACCAAAATTAGAAATAAATCAGACATTGATCTATAGCTTTAATATAAATCTCGAATGATGAATTTAAAAAGGATTAGAAGGTAAATCAACATCTCATTAGATAGCATATAAATTGCACAAGATGATATATATAAGTGTGACATGTTTGGCAAAAGAAAATTCGAACATGAATACAGAGACAGCATACCTTACAATATTATTATGACTAGCATCTTTCAATATAGATATTTCTCTAATGGTTGTATAAGATACCCTACCGGTAAAAGATTCTAACCTCATTTTTTTCATAGCAACGACGCGACTCGTTTTTCGTTCTTTCGCCTTATAGACAACGCCGTATGTCCCTTAAAGTAATGAGGAAACGAATATCAAGAAGAAAAAAAATTTTTTACTACATAGACACGTTGAAACTTGAATATTATGGTCTTATAGTTTATTCAGTTCACATGGGGAGAATATTAAGGAATGAGTTTGCTCCATTTCAAGTCTAACCTTCCCCAATTTTCTCGAGTTTAATATATTTGTCAGTCATTTCGTTGAAGATTCTTATATCTAAGTTGAAGGATATAGAGACAGGCCAAGAATAAGAGAAAGAAGAAACAGAGTACAAGAGAAAACGAGAAGAAAATTAAATGTCATTATATAAGAGAAAAAAAAACGGGGAACACAAAGTAATAAGCAGGCTCCCGATTTGGAATGACAACACGAGAGATACAAGAGAGAATTGCATTGGATGACAAAGTTTTTTTTTCATCCTTTCACGTAGACGGACAGAAAGTAGAAAGAGTAATGCTTTAAATAGTTTTTAAAAGGCAAGATCAAAAGGTAGATTTCATACAACTCTAAAAACAAGTTCACAGTTTCCTATATTGGATTATTTAATGCAAAAATTAGCCTGATCTGTTTATATTGCATTATTGAATATAAATATATACTATTTAATTACACTGAGTCGGAACGTCGAGCCTCTTGGATGATCCTAAAATGTATAATGTACCGAAAAAGCTCGCGTCTGGATTGATGTCCGGAATACTCCAAAATACATATTTATTTACTTAGGAACGCGACAATTTTCTTCACGTGTAATCTAAATATATATATAACACTCCCGATAAAGAAGGTTAAGAACTTATCCTTCATTTTTGTGGATATGTGGCGGTAACACGGCAGTTTGTGCTTTCTTTTCCGGCCAACAATCGCCTGGCTTGGCAATTCCAAGGTCATTTGCTTTTTTTTTTTAGAAGACTTGTAATTTTTTTTTTATTATTTTTTTTTTTTATTTAAGATGTTTTATTTTTCGTTTTTGCAAATATT